TGTCACATGGCTAGATGGGAACAGTAGGCTTCTTTAACTCCAAAGCTGTGTCCTTATGTTAATACTAGTTGCTATTTACCATTTAGTATTTGCCAGTTGTTTTATGTATATTATCTTTTTTTTTTAATTTAGAATTTCACTCAGTCGCCCAGGCTAGAGTGCAGTGGCACTCTTATAGCCACCCCAGCATTGACCTGCTGGGTTCTGGTGATCCTTCCACCTCAACCTTCCAAGTAGCTGGAACTACAGGCACGCGCTACCATGCCCAGCTAATTTTTGATTTATTGTAGAGGAGATGAAGTCTCACCAAGTTGCCCGGGCTGGTCTCGAACCCGCGGGCTCAGGTCATCCACTCGCCTCAACCTCCCAAAGTGCTGGGATTACAGGCTGAGCCACCAAGCTGGACCATATATTCTCTTTAATATTTGCAACAGTCCCACAGAACACATTTTGTTATCTCCATTTTGTGGATGAGAAAACTGAACAGAGAGTTTAGGTAGCTTGTCCAAGGTCATGCAGCTAGTAAGTGGCAGGGCTGCAATTCAAGCCCTGGTTTAGCTGGTTCTGTATCTCATGCTCGTGCTTGCAACAATGGAGAGGGGTCAAGAGTCAATACCTCCTCTCACCAAGTGTCCCAGTTGATGGGAATCAAGGCATGACAGATCCATTATCTTTTCATGGGACAGAGAGGGTACTCATGGGTAGGAGGAACCGGGAGACTGAATTTGATACAGCCAAATAAAGGACTCTCTAAGAGTCAGCACTGTCCAAACCCAGAAAGGGCTCCTGGGAGCTGGTGTTCTCTTGTGCTGTTGATTTCCTGCTTGGGTGAGGATGGATGTCCAAGTGACTGCTCTTCAGCGAAGCCCCTTCAAGGGTCCTTCAGACCCTGAGACAGAGTTAAGGACCCGAACAGCAGTTGAGATCCACCTTGCAGATGTGCTGCCCAGGGGTGTCCCCTCTCAAACACTGCCTTTAGAAAGATGGGAGAGCCATAGTGAAAAAGCATGGGCTTTGGGAAGGATCAAACCAGGGTTCAAAAACACTAACTGGTGGACCCTGGGCAAATCGCTCAGATTCTCTGAACCCAGTATCCTCGTGTGTGTAAAAGCAGGATGAGAAGGTTTGTCTGAGAAGGTCGTTTTCAGGTTAAATAAGATAATAATATCTAGGGTGCTATATATAATTGCTTAATGCATAGCAGGTGTTTTAATAATTTTAGTTGCTAGAATTATTACTATTGTTGTGGTGGTTGATATTATTCTATTTCAGTTTTCAAATCTGTTTTCTTTTTTTGAATTGAATTTCACTCTGTCTCTCAGGCTGGAGTGCAGTGGTATGCTCATGGCCACTGCAGCCTCGACCTCCTGGGCTCAGGTGATTCTTCCGCCTCAGCCTTCCAAGTAGCTGGAACCACAGGCATGCACCACCATGCCTGGCTAATTTTTTGATTTATCGTAGAGATGTGGTCTCGCCAAGTTGCTCAGACTAGTCTCGAACTCCTAGACTAAGACAATTCTCTGGCCTCAGTCTCCCAAAGTGCTGGGATTACAGGCATAAGCCACCATGCCCCGCTTCAAATCTATTTTTGTAAAGCAAGCAAATCTCTCCCTGCTTCTTCTCTGTGGGCCTCTGGTTCAGATTGGGAATCAGCTTTGTTCTGCCTTGAGTGTGCCTTGTTCCAAGCAGGCATGGCCAGGTCAGAGTGAAGGTTGGACCTTCAGGTTGGATTAGGTTGGAAGCAGGGTGCCTGTGGCCCAGACAAGACAAGCCCTTTGGCTCCCATTGTAGGACACTCAAGGTCAGTGACTGCGTCTCCAGCTTCTGAACCAGATATACGAAGTTCTCCAGCCGGAGGCCCCTTCCCAAGCCTGGGAAGCACAGGCCGCTTACTGCCAGCACCAAAATAAACCAAGTGTTGGTCTCACTCCGTGAAACTCTGGCATGGTAGACACACTGTTAAACAAAGTCTGGAACACGTGGTCATATTACATCTTTTCTGAAATTATCTCTGAAAGTGTGGCCAACTCCGAAATTCATTCTTTGTTCTATTTTGACCTTTACGACTTATTTTTAAAGATCATGTTGGTTGGGCACTGTGGCTCACACCTATAATCCCAGCACTTTAGAAGGCCAAGGTGAGAGGATTACCTGAGCCCATGGGTTCGAGACCAGCCTGGGCAACTTGGGGAGCTCTCATCTCTACAATAAATCAAAAAATTAGCTGTGTGTGGTGATGCGTGCCTGCAGTTCCAGCTACTTGGAAGGCTGAGGTGGAAGGATCACCTACACCCAGCAGGTCGAGGCTGCCGTGGCCACGAGCATGCCAACCTGGGTGGCAGAGTGACACTCCAACTCAAAAAAAAAATCATGTTGTTCCTCAGTTTAATCCTGGCTCTGTCTCTTTCCAGCCCTGAGACCCTGGGCAATTGCTATGCTTTATGAACTTTTCTTCCTCTGCAGAGTGACTTTGTGCAGAACTTTTAGTGATAGTTAATAAGCTAATAGTTGTCCCATGCCTTCCCAGGACTGCAAACAACCATCACATTGTGATCAACTCTCACGATGAGGTCTGTAGGGAGGCTCAGGAAAGGCTACATCCTCCAGGACCCTTGATCATTCCTGTCTTCCTTCCTGCTTTTCTTCACTGGGGTAAATAACTGCAGTTTTCACATTTACAGACACACTTTTATTTGGCCGTGAAGCTTGACCCTCTATACAGTCTTCCCAGACCTCTGAACAGCATGCGCGTAATTGGAAGTCTGCCTGCCTCGGGACTGGGATTTCCTGTATGTTATATCCCTATTCCTGCATCCTTCCTTTTGTCAAACAAGTTAATTATCTTCTTACTCCTGGTCAGTTTGTCATCACCACACTTGTTCTTAGCAGGAATTTCTCCTGAAACCCATCAGGTTGGGATCTGTGTCTTTTCTCAAAGGCCTTGTATGTTTGTACAGTTTTATTAAACTTTACAAAGTGCTTTCATATACTCTCATCCAATTCCCACAAATCCCTTTGATATAGGTGGTCTCACCTTAATTCGACTATTCAGAAAATGGAAACTCAGAAAACTTAAGTGATATTCAGAGCTGTAATTTAAATGGACTCTAAGACTGGTGGTCTGGTTTCTTCTTTTTCCTTCTCGAGGTTCCCGGGATTTCTGAATTTGTATTCTACCGAGACTCTGTCTCTATTTCTTCCAAGAGGATTTTGGCTATTTGCCTGTTGAATGCTGCCCCTCACTCTTCCCTCCCTCCCTCCCATCCTCTCTTCCTCCCTCACCTGCCCCCTGCCCTGCCTCCCCTGTCTTTAATAGATGGCATGTGTGTCTGGGCTGCAGAGCACCTGTCTGCCCAAGCGCTGGGGAGGGCACCAAGCCCTGGGAATCAGTTGCACTTCCTGTCCAGCAGCCGGGACCCATTTCCACTGACCACAAATGACGGAGGTATTCAGAAAGGACCCAATGCCGAGTCGGACGAATCACTCACATTTTCTGGGCCATAAAGCAGTTTTACAGATATTGTGATCAACGGAGTGCTCTCAGCATTGAGATTCAATCCCCAAAATAAGCTGAGGAGACAGGCTGCCCCATTTCTCCCCCTTCTTGTTGTTCACAGCCACCCTTCCCTGCATGGCTGCCTCTACCTCCCTCCAGCCCTGACACAGGAGGTGTCCACACATGTTTATTAAATCACATTGACTTGTACTGCAGAGAGACACAGTCCCTCTGACCCCCAGAGGAGTTGTCATCCAGGCTCAGGGACCGAGCAGAAATGAGAGGTGGCAGCTCTGATCTTTCAGCAATATTTCCACCCAGTTCATTGCTTAAAACCACTTTTTATTCTCAATCACACTGAAGCCTGTCATGTACTGGAATCGTTTAAAAAAAAAAAAGCCAAGCTGGGCTCGGTGGCTCAGCCTGTAATCCCACGCTTTGGGAGGCTGAGGTGAGTAGATTGCCTGAGCAGGTTCGGGACCTGCCTGGGCAATTTGGCGAGACCTCATCTCTACAATAAAACAAAAATTAGCCGGGCGTGGTAGCGCACGCCTGTAGTTCCAGCTACTCGGAAGGCTGAGGTGGAAGGATCGCCGGAGCCCAGCAGGTCGAGGCTGCGGTGGCTGGGGGCGGCCACTGCATTCCAGTCTGGGTGACTGAGTGAGACTCCAACTCAAAAATAAATAAATAAATAATAAAAAATAAAATGCTTGACTGAAATCTGGAGGAAACACTAGGAATCCCCCATCATCCCGGCTGGGAATTACCCTCCCAATTAATAGAGCTTTTAGTAGATTTTCAATGTAGCGATGTCTTTTTTGGGTCCAGTTTTGATTAATTTCAAATGATTACTAACAAGCCTGTTGCTGAATATCTTTGGGATATAAAATCTATTTTAATCCAACCAACTTGAAATGTCGCGCATTCACCCACGGCTTTTGAATAGCACAATAGCTCATAATTTGGGCATGGGAAAGCTGTTTTTGTCTATATTGCCTCAATTACAACCGTTCTGTATCTATGCAGTACTTTACAGTTTAGAAACATGCTGCCAATTTATATTGATCTTTCCAGAGGACAAGACCAAGACCCTGAGGGCAGGAATTTCCTCCAAGTCTCATCCACTAACGATGTGATGGTCCCATGACTAGAACACGCATGGACTTTCTGTTGTTTGGTCTGCTTTCTCGCCATCCGGACGACGACGATAGGAAACATTCCACTGTGAAAGTAGTTTTACACCAAACATAATTCCTTACTCATTTCTCGGTCTATGAGGTTCCCTCGAGCCCCCAAATAGTCATCATCCTTTTAGGAATCTTTTCACACCCGCTAGATCCACACCAGAATCAAGTATAAGTTGAGCCTCTGCGAACAGAAGCAGAGCGGATGCTGACACTTGGGACGTCAAACACACCCCTACTCCATGGGACCCTTCAGAATCCCGACAAGCCACCAGAGAGCCCACCGCCCTCAGCCCAAACGCCTGCCTCCCTTCACTCACCTCCCTGTGTGGTCTCTGTTGGGCTCAACTGAGTGTGGAGGGCTCCAGCCCTCTTTAAATATATGGAGGCTGTCACCAGTCCTGACCTGCTGGGGGAAGGGCAGGAGGGAGGCCGAGGGGAGAGGGTGAATGAGACATGAGTAACACAACTGCTATCAGAGGCTGAAAATAGCCTGTGACCAAAGCCCTGAGTTTCGTCCCTGCACGCCAGCTGTGAGCCTCTTGGAGAACAATATCACTCTGGTTCTATTTTCATTGCCAATTGCGTATGGCCCCAAGTGATCAATTCCTGGAGTGTATTGCTTCTGATCAAGTAGTTGTTATGGGAACACGAGCAAAGGGTTTTCTATCTCAAATCATTCCTCCGGGCCCACGCTCTGACCTTCCTGGAACTCAAGGCAGGATACCTGCAAATGCATCATCAGCCGTATCTGGGAGACCTCTCGAGTGCCGAGCTGCAGGTCACCACATTCGTGAAGGGAACTCAGAGCTAAAAATAAGGGTGATGGGTGTCTGAAATGCTATGCAGATAATCTCTTCAGGGGAGCTTGGGGAGAAGAAGGTCAGCTCGTCACTGGGGGCTTGTCACTCCATCTGTCCCTGGAATAAAAGTTTTCTCTCAAAAGTTTTGGGTCACTGTGTTCGTCACCTTTCTCTGTTTAAGCATTTGACACAGCAGTGTGGCATGTTTCTCATCATCTCATCATGTTTATAACTCTCTGGAGATTCATATTTTTTTTTGAATTGTAGTCTCACTCTGTCACCCAGGCTGGAAGACAGTGGCACGCTCCTGGCCACCATAGCCTCAACCTGCCGGGCTCAGCCGATCCTTCCACCTCAGCCTTCCAAGTAGCTGGAACTACAGGGACACACCATCATGCCCAGTTAAATTTTTAATATTATTATTATAGAAATGAGGGCTTGCCAAGTTGCCCAGGCTGGTCTTGAACCTGTAGGCTCAGGCAATCCTCTCATCTTGGCCTCCCTAAGTGCTGGGATTATAGGCACGAGCCACCATGCCCAACCTAGAGACCCACATTTTCTTTGGAAGACTAGTATTTCTTTGCCTAGAATACACATAGTTTGGCTTTGATCACAGATTGATACACATTACAGAATTTAAGAGCCAACAAGAAATTCAGAGATGTGAAGACCAATTGTTCATGTTATGGAAAAGGAAACTGAGGCAGTGGAACTCAGGCCATCTTCTCCTCAGGCTTGGGCACCTTCCACTCATGTGGACCTGGATGCTGAGCTCAAAGGGTAGGTAGGACCCAACCAGGAGGTTTATGAAATCCACCCCTTCACATCAGGTACATTTGCTCTCTGGTTACCTTTTCATACCACAGTTGATTGAATGGTGGAATGTTTTACTGTCAAGAAGGTAGTGGCAATGTCACAAAGATGGCCACGGCACAGCCTCCCGTGAGATATCCTTAGCCTGTGTTTTCATGGAACAGTGTGTTCACCATAGAAATGAGGCAATATTGGAGACTCCATAAAGTGAAAGACTTTAGAAGTTTTCCAGGAGAGTGGCTTTCAAATTTGTGTGGATTTCTTTTTGGTTTTTTTTTTTTGCATCAGAATATTTTTTTCTATAGATTATCTTCAATAGAACATCACTGAAGCAGAGAAAACATCTTCTATTGATAAAACATCAATAGAAATTAGATGAAAGAAGAGCTTTCCTGCTTGAAATGAACAGCACACTTTAACCATCACATCTTCCCCCTCACTTTGCACCCCTGTCCACAAAATGATGTGTAGACATCTGAGATTTCAGTTTTGGATTGTAATCAGTTTTGTTCATTATACATTCATAGTTATTTACACTTCATTATAAACTATACTGCTTTCTCATTCAACTACTATTTCTTGTATGCTTTTTATATCTTAAAATTTTAATTCTGTGTGTGAGTGTGATAGAATGCATTCTTGATAAATTCATTGACAGAGTCTATTGTAAACCTACTAAATTCTCACATACTTAAACAAGTACCATAGACTGGGTGGTTCAACCAACAAAAATTTATTTCTTCACAATTCTGGAGGCAGGAAGGTCAAGAGCAAGGCAAGGTTGGTTTATTCTGAGGCCCCTCTCCTTGGCTTGTAGATGGTTGTCTTCTCTCTCTGTCTTCACATGTTCTTATCAGTATGTGTGTATCTGTATCCTAATTTCCTCCTCTTATAAAGACACTGGTCTTATTTAATTGGAAGCCCCCCATATGACTTCATTTGAATGTAATCATCTTTTAAAAACCCTTTCTCCAAATACAGTCACATAATGAGGTATTGGGGGTAAGGACTTCAACATAGGAATTTTGAAAGGACACAATTCAGCCCATAAAATTCTTAATTTTGTTTTCACTTTGGTTAAATTTAGAAATCTAGATTCTAAGTAAGTTTGGATCAGAATTTTGTAGAAATTTTCATTCTAATAATGTAGATGACAGTTCTGGTGTCAATCTTATTCACATTCCTTTATTAACTTGGTTTGTTTCCTCTGGAAACTTTTAGAATCTTGTCTGGAATTTTATGGCAATTTTCTCAGTTAAGGTCTTTACAAACTTATTTTGTTTAGAATTTAATAAATCATTTCAACCTAAAAACGTATATATATTTTTTCAGCTTAGGGAGATTTTCTTTTATTATTTTTTTCATTAATCCTCCCCTCTATTTAATCAATTTCATCCTGCTGGGACTCTCATAAGAAGTTAGAATTTCTTTGCTCTTTTATGTTTTGTTTTGTTTTTCAGTTGGAGTCTCATTCTGTCGCCCAGACTGGAGTGCAGTGGCCGCTCCTGGCCACCGCAGCCTCGACCTGCTGGGCTCCGGCGATCCTTCCGCCTCAGTCTTCCAAGTAGCCAGAATTGCAGGCATGCACTTCACGCCCGGCTGATTTTTTGATTTATTGTAGAGATGAGATCTCACTGCCCAGGTGGGTCTTGAACCCGCGGGCTCAGGCAATCCACTCACCTCAGCCTCCCAAAGGTGCGGGATTACAGGCTGAGCCACTGAGCCCGGCTTTTTATGTTTTTTCAAGGATAATTCCTTAGCTCAACCTTATACAGAATTTGCATTTCACCCCAGTACATTCTGCTCAGTTTATCTACTGATTTTTAAAATAATTGCATGTTTACATTTTTAGGATAATTGATTTTTTTCATATAACCTGTTCTTGCTTTGTGAACAATATATCATCTTAACTCTCACTGAGAATATTAATTATACTAATTTGGGGGAAGTCTTCTATTTGCTTTATTAATTCTGTTTTCTTGGATATTCGTTCTTTTGTTTGTTGAGTTTGGTGTGTTCTCCTTCATAGTGCTGTTTTTTCAAATATGAAGGAGGACCCAAAAAACCCCCCAGAATTTATTCATAAAAAATTATGTTTAAACTTCAATCACTTTCCAAGTACACTCCACTTGAAGCAATACACCTGTTGAGATGCTTTTTCCACTGCTCAAAATGGTTTTTGAACCCATCTATTTGGATGTCTTCTAGTGCTTCTGCTGCTTTTTGTTTCACCTTTTCACATCAGCAAAATGATTTCCTTTAAGGACTTTTTTCATGCAGGGAAACGGAAAAAAAAGTCTCTTGGGGTGAAATTGGGTGAATAAGGAGGGTGGGGTTTGGAGGTCATGTCATTTTTGGTCAAAAACTGCTGAATACTCAGCGTGGCGTGGGCACGTGTGTTTGTAAATCACCATCATGGAATCTCCACAAAAAATTCTCTAAAGCAAAATGCAGCCTCACAACAACACTGGCTAGTTGGTATGCTGATGCCAATGGGTTCCTAGAACACTTACCTAGTGGAGGAAGCCTGTGCTACAAGGGGTCCACCCTCCAGAAAATCATTCCAGGTTTTTTGGGGGTCCCCTTGGGTATTTGGGACTCTTGGTTATATGTTTGCCATTACATTTGAGAATTCCTGTTTGTCTCTTAGTGGACATCACCTCTTACTAAAGGTGCTTTCCTGCAGAGATTGTGGACAGAGAGAAAGCCTGTTGCCAGGGTGTGCTGTGGTGTCTTGTCTTCTGGGTGTGGCCCTCCAGTACTTCTGGAGGTCACTGGCTCTCTGGGGAGTTCCCAGACTTTCTGGCCCCTTAGCCTGAAGCCACACTGGAAAGTGAGGGAGGCTACTGGCCCTTTTGGGAACAGTTCTTACCCATCACCCTTAGGAGAGCCCAGAGCCCTTCCCACTCTGTGTATCTCCTGGCTCCTGGTTTGGAATATTCCAGGACAGTGCCCACCTCATCACGGCACCCTGCTGCATGTGTTTGGGCCTTCTCACTCTGCCAATCCACATCTTTCTGCTTTCTCTCTGGAATTCCTCACAGTTTCTCACTTGCTAATAGCCACTTTGTTGTTGGTCTTCAGTATCATTTCTGATTCATTTTCTTTTAAATCTTTCTGGAATTCTGTGATCTGTCAGCAGTCTCTAGAGCTGTGCTGTCCAACACAGTAGCCAACTGCCACATGTGGCTATTCAAATTGACATTATTTGAAAGTAAATAAAATTTAAAAATCAGTTTCTCGGGCACAAGTAGTCACATTTCAAGTGTTTAACAGCCAAATGTGGTCAGAACCCACACAGTAGATGGTACAGATATAGGATGCTCCTTCCATCACTATGGAAGGTTCTATCGGACAGCACTGCTCTCCAGGTCCAGAGCTTCCTGCATCTGAAAGATCAAGGAATTTCAGATTCCTTTTGGGAGGTTAGAAGGAACAGGTAATCTTTTTTTTCTTTTTTTTTTTTAAATTGGAGTCTCACTCTGTTACCCAGGCTAGAGTGCAGTGGCATGCTCACTGCCACCCCAGTGTTGACCTGCGGGGCTCAGGCGATCCTTCCTCCTCAGACTTCCAAATAGCCAGAACTACAGGTGTGCGCTACCATGTGCAGATAATGTTTTGATTTATTGTACAGATGAGGTCTCACCATGTCGCCCAGGCTGTTCTCGAACCTGTGGGCTCAGGTAATCCCCTCACCTTGGCCTTCCAAAGTGGTGGAATTACAGGCTTGAGCCACCACACCTGGCTGGAACAGATAATCTTATGCTCGTGTTGGACACATAGCGATGTGCTCCATCAA